CCTCCCTCCCTCCTCCTTCCCTCCCTCTCTTCCTCTTTCCTTCCCCTCCCTCCCCTCCTTCCTTCCTCCCTCCTTCCTCCCTCCCTTCCTTTCTTCCCCCTCCCTCCATCTTCTCCTTCCTTCCTCCCTCCCTCCTCCTTCCCTCCCTCTCTTCCTCTTTCCTTCCTTCCTTCCTTCCTTTCTCCCTCCCTCCTCCTTCCCTCCCTCTCTTCTTCCTTCCTTCCTTCCTTCCTTCCTTTCTCCCTCCCTCCCTCCCTCCCTCCTTTCCCTCCCATTCCACAGTGCCAGCCACTCTCCAGAACATGGTGTGCGTGTCAGGGAGAAGTGGCTGAAAGGGGACCCAGAAAGGCCCACGAGCTCTCAGCATGCACCCCAGTCCCCATCACAAGCAGCTGAGTCCTGGCGCCTCCCATTCCGTGGCCACAGGGCAGCCGGGAAAGGAACTGGCCTTTTTGTCTGGGGTCAAGATCAGGGGACAGCCGCCACAGCTCTGGTTCCCAACATCGCTGGATTTTCTCTAGAAAAGCCCACGACACCCACCAGATTAGCAGAAGAGAGGGGTGAGGCTGGTCCACTTGACAAGGAGAGACAGACCGGGGTGCTGGAAGGGGCCTTGGGCAGCCCTCTGTGGGCGACCCCCATTCAGACAGGCTGCGGGGATTCCCAGCCCCAGGCCTGGCTCCCTGCCCGGAGCACTTCCAGCTAACGGCTTGCCAGGAAGAAGACTCCTTATCAGTCTCAGGGGTGGGGCAGCTGGGACTCGGGGCCTCCGAGGCCCTGCTTCCAGCTGGGACCTCCAGTACCACTGGGTGAGCTTGGCCAACTCATTTCTCTTCTCTGAGCTTCCGTTTCCTCGTCTGCAAGATGAGGGATGGTGCTTGGAGGCCTCCAGCTCTGAGGCACTAACATGGGACCCCATGCCCGCCCCAAACCCCAGTGCTCAGGCCCTAGCTGGGGTTGGACAGCGAAGGTGGGGGCTGCAGAGGTGCTGTGCCCCAAAGTCAACAGTGGCCTCCCGTTCTGTTCCGTGTTGCTGGGACCCATCCCCCGGGAGCCTCGACCCAGGAGGAGCAGCCCTGATCACCCCACTTTAGAGACGAGGGAGCTGGCTCGGACAGGCGAGGTGGTACCCAGCGCCCACAGCCAAGAAGCGGCAGAGCCAGGGACCTCCAAGGGCAGGCTCTCCGCTGGCCTTGGGCCCCCGACGGCCCTGTGTGGTAGATGTGGTGCCTGCCTCGCCCGGCACCTGCCACCTCTCTCCCTCCGATGGTGGCCCAGGCAGGGCAGGTGGTGGAGAGGAGGGGTGGGGGACAGAGATACCAGCTCAGCGCTGCGGTCAGCCGGGCCGGGCCAGGCTTGGACTCAGAGCCTCTTTCCTCTCTGTCCCGCTCACTACAGGCCCCCAGGGACTCAGCGGCCAGCCCTGGCGGGGGAGGGGGAGGGTGGTGGACGGGGCTGGGGCTGGGGATGGACGGCTGATTTTGGCGGGCAGGGGAGGGCACGGGGGTGCAGGGGCGGGGCTTCTGAACCTGAGGCGACTCCAGCTTCCCCCCGGCCCTGGCCAGAGCTCCATCTTGCCAGGTTTTGGAGGGGTAACTTGAGGAGCCGGCGGAGAGCTTTATCTTTGCCCCCGTGACGGGTGGCCAGTGGTTTCCTGCCAACAACTCCTGCTTCCGGAGGCCCAGCAGGGCCAGGCAGAGCCAGGAGGGGCAGCGGGGCTGGGCCTGGGTGGCCCCACCGGCCCCGCCCCGTCTATCTTTGGGAATTTATTTGTCCATGGGCGAGGCAGGCCTGCAGTCTCCTGCCTTCCAGGGGCCAAGAGCTGCTCCGACCGCCCCAGGCTTCTGCCTCCAACCCACACGCCTCCAGCGGACCCCTGGCTCCGGCCCTGTCCCCACCTGCACGGCCCCCACTCTTCCTCAGGGGCGGCGCAGCCCCCAGAAGCCCTGCCATCCACGTGGGTGTCGGCACCGGCTCACCGTGAGAGCAGAGGCCGGGCAGGGGTGGGCTCTGAGCCCCCTCCAGTCTGCCATGGCGCGGCGGTTCCGGGCCGAGCTGGCCGCCTTCTTCTTCGAGTACGACACCCCCCGCATGGTGCTGGTGCGCAACAAGAAGGTGGGCGTCGTCTTCCGGCTGATCCAGCTGCTGGTCCTGGTCTATGTCGTGGGGTGAGTCCGGCGCCTCCCGCTGTCCCCGCCCCTGCCCCAGGCCTGTCCCCCAGGCCCCGAGACACCTTCTGACACACCAGGGAGGCCTCTTCCTCTCCAGCAGTGGAGGGGAAGCCCTGTCCGGGGCCTTTGGTGAACGGGAGGCAGAGTTGTGGGGTTTCGAGGAACCAGCTCAGTGTCGGGGTTCCTTTGAGGGGTGGCGTTCAGGGCCAGGGCCCACCAACCACAGCCACCGAGCCCTCCACCTCTGACCGCCTGCCAAACCACGCTGCCACGGATGCACAGGTCAGAGAGGGACAGGCTCTGCTGTCACCTTCCCGGCCTAAGTGAGGGGCATCCGGAGAGGTTTGAGGCCCCTGGAGCAGAGAAGCCGCCGCCGCCTGAAGGCCTGGTGCCTTCACGTTGGCATGTCAGGTAGAGGCCGGAGATCGGAGGTTCTGCTCCCTGGGATGACAGTTTCTTCCCGGGCATCTCTGGACCTGTCCTGCCCGGCCGGGATTGCAGTCAGAGGCAGCGGGGGCCGCTCCTGCAGTCCGGTGCTCCCGGGAGGCAGGCCTGGCTTGGCAGAGGCTGGCACACGTGGGTGTGCGCATGGACTCGGTGCCATGTGTGTTCACGGGGCTGGCTGCTCACGTGTGGGGACCACTGTGTGTGCATATGGTTGTGCCCATGTCTGCCCTGTGGCTGGTGCATGTCCCCTGTGTGTGGTTCATCTTGTCCACTCACAGTGACTCTGCAGAGGGCTCCTGGAGGCCCCAGGGCCGCTGGCGGGGGCTCAGCCCCTGCTGGGGGCCTCAGGGTGCCCAGTAGCCCCTGCCTGACTCTGCTGCGTGATTCTGAGACTCGGTCTCCACATCATGTTTACCACGGTTCCAAACCAGAACTGCTAAATGGAGTCCAGGGCAGGCTGACCCAGGGCCCAAACAAGGACCTCAGCGTCCCAGTCCCCCTGAAATGAATAGCTCCCAAAAGAGCCGTCCCTCTGCCCCCCCAGTCCCCAAAGCTCAGAGCTGGCCAGGTGCACCCAGGGCCAGGCCCCAGCCTTGGCCTGTCTCCTCTCTCATTCAGAAACCAATTTGACATCTGCGATGCTGTTTGAGCTTGTGAGGGAAACTGAGGCCCAGAGAGGCGCAGTGGGCCTTCCAGGTCCACGGCGAGTCAGCAGCACAGCCGGGGTTGGAGCTGAGCTGGCACACAAGGGCACAGAGCCCCGTACACACCCTGACCCCCGGCCTCTGCAGGGCCTGCTCCTTCCTCGCCATCACAGGAGCTGGGATCCTTTCTAGCGGGCACTTATGACGGGATGCCAGGTGCAGGACAGGCCTCAGGTCCACCTAGCGGCACTCCTGACCCTCCCTGGAAGAGAGAGGCTGCCTGCTGAGGCCCAGCCCACCCTTGCTGGAAGAGGTGGGGGCGGGGGGCAGGGGGAAGTTTGTCCTCTCTCTGCCCCTGCGGCTCCCTAGTTCTGCTCTCAGATCTGCAGGTGTGAGGGGCTCCTGTGTGAGGGTCACAGGCTGTCAGGGTGGGAGCCCCCACCCCGTACACCCACCCCTCCCCTCCCCCATACCCCTCCCCTCCCCCCACCCCTCCCCCACCCCTCCCCCACCCCCCACCCAGCCACAGCCACAGCCTATGCCCCAAGCTGCCGCCCAGCCGGGAACCTAAACCTCCAGTGATGGGGACCTCACTACCACCCTCCTGCCCGTCTTGCCTCCCAAGACTGTCTCATCAGCTTCCAGATGGCCGTGGCCCTTCTCGATGTCCGTGGAGCCCAGGGCCACAGGGGTCCAGCCAGGATCCCACAGCTGAGTACAGGATTTGAACTCACCCACCTGCAGGGCTCCAAAGTCAGCCTTGATATTCTGGAAAGAAGCATCCTCAGAGAGAGGGCACTGGCCTGCCTGAGTCACACAGCAGAGGGTGGAAGGAAGGCAGGGTCCTTCAACACCGACCCCAGAGCTCCAAGCCCAGCCTTCCAGCTCACGCGTGGGCTGTGGCTCCTGCTGTCCCTTGCGCCCTCGTCTGGCCACTGCCCAGTACTGCACTGACCTGTCAGCCAGGAACCCACAGCTGCAAACCCAACCCCTGACCCAGCCTGGACCTGGTCTTGGCATCTCAGACCTCAGCTTCCTAACCCGCCCCTGGGGCAGGGGTTGCAGGGGACCTCCCTAAAGGACACTCAGCTCAGCATGTGGCTGTTTCCTGGGGAGGGCTTTGCTTTCATGTCTGGTCCTGTGGGCATTGCCAGGGGATGGAAAGGAGCTTGAGAGAAGAGCCCAGGTCCCTGCATCCCAGAGACAGGGCACAGCCTGGGTCGGGGATGGGTGGACACAGACACCAACCTGGACAGAGGGCCAAACACCGGAGCACAGCTCAGACGAAGGGAGGGAGGCCCTGAGACTCAGAGATGGACAGTTACTGAGGCTGAGCAGAGAGGCTGAGACGCCGAGAACACAGACTCTGAGGAGGGAAACTGAGGCAGTGGTCTTTGCTAGGCATGCTCTTCCAGGAAATCCTGGGCAAGGGAGGACGTGAGTGGGCCTGATACCAGAAGGCTGGGCTGAGTTGAGCTGACCCTCTTTCCAGTTAAGATGGTCTCAGATAAGGCTGGGCACAGTGGTTCACGCCTATAATTCCAGCATTTTGGGAGGCTGAGGTGGGCGGATCACCTGAGGTCAGGAGTTCGAGACCAGCCTGACCAACATGGTGAAACCCTGTCTCTACCAAAAATACAAAAATTAGCTGGGTGTGGTGGCTCCTGCCTGTAATCCCAGCACTTTGGGAGGCCAAGGTGAGCAGATCACTTGAGCTCAGGAGTTTTGAGCTCAGCCTGGCCAACATAAGGAGGCCCTGTATCTACAAAATAATACAACAAAACAAAATTAGCCGAGTGTGGTGACGTGTGCCTGCAGTCCCAGCTACTCAGGAGGCTGAGGTGGGAGGATCACCTGAGCCCGGGAAGTTGAGGCTGCAGTGAGCCATGACTGCGCCGGTGCACTCCAGCCTGGAGGACAGAGTGACACCTGTCTCAAAAATTAATAAATAATGGCCGGGCGTGGTGGCTCACGCCTGTAATCTCAGCACTTTGGGAGGCTGAGGCAGGCGGATCGCCTGAGGTCAGGAGTTCAAAACCAGCCTGGACAACATGGTGAAACCCTGTCTTATAAAAAGAATAAAAATAAAAATAAAATTATCTTAGCCATCGTAAGAGGGGGGAAGAAAAAGGGAAAAAAGAAAAAAATAATAAAATAATTAAAAACACAAATCGTTGGCCTGTGATTCAATTCCACATTCATTTAGTCATGCAATACACAGGTGTTTATTGAGCCCCTACTATGTGCCAAGCATTACTCTAGACAATAAAAATACAGACGCAAACAGAACAAAGATCCCGCAGTCAGGAAATAAATGCTCACATGCTCCTGGACTTGTCTGTAGGTTGCGTTGGGGCCTCAGGGTGGGTTCAGTTCTGAGCAGTCCTCCCAGGCCTGGCGTCTGGTCGTGCCCCTCCTCAAGGCCACTGCTGTCTGACAGCTCATGCCCCATGTGGTCAACTCCGGCCTGTGGCCCATGATCATACCCTGTGTCCCATCAGCCACCTGGCTGGGCCCCTCAGCCCGCGCCAGAGCTGCCCCCGCACCTGCCCCAGCTCCTCCAGCATCTCAGCCTTCCTGCCACGATCGCTTCTGGGTCCTTAGATGAAAGCCGAGGGACGACAGGAGGACTGAGGGACCCAAAGAGTGTGGATATGACAGGGAGGGTGGCTGTGAGGACGCTGCCCAGGTGCCGAGCCTGGGCGATGGGGTGGGGCAGCACCATTCTCCATGATGAGGATGCAGGGGAACAAGTTCTAAAGAGATCAGTTTGGTCCAGTTGAGTTTCTGTTTGTATAGCAGTTAGTACTCGGCATTGAAATAATTTTGTAAGCCAGGCGCAGTGGCTGATACCTGTAATCCCAGCACTTTGGAGGCCAAGGCAGGTAAATCATGAGGTCAGGAGTTCAAGACCAGCCCGGCCAACACGATGAAACCTGTCTTTATTAAAAATACGAAAACTAGCTGGGAGTGGTGGTGGGTGCTTATAATCCCAGCTACTCAGGAGGCTGAGGCTTGAGAATCGCCTGAATCCAGGAGGTGGAGGTTGCAGTGAGCCAAAATCGTGTCACTGCACTTCAGCTTGGGAGACAGAGAGACTCCATCTCAAAAAAAGAACGAAAGAAAGAAAAAGAAAGAAAGGGAAGGAAGGAAGGAAGGAAGGAAGGAAGGAAGGAAGGAAGAAAGAAAGAGAGAGAGAGAAAGAAGAGAGAGAGAAAAAAGAAATTTAATATATCATAACATTTACCCTTTAAAAAATACCATTCTGGCTGGGCTTAGTGGCTCATGCCTGTAATCCCAGCAATTTGGGAGGTTGAAGTGGGAGAATCCCCTTGAGGCCAAGAGTTCAAGACCAGCCTGGGCAACAGAGACTCTGTCTCTACAAAACATCATATTAAAATAAAAATCCAATTCTGTGGTTTTTAGCATATTCACAGAGTTATGCAACCATCACCACTGATTCCTGAACATTTTCTTCCGCCCAAAAGGAAAGCTCCCACCCTTTAGCCATCGCCCGCCATTTCCCCTCCCCACAGCCTGCTGTGGCTATTCTGGGTATTTCACGTGGGCAGAATCCTATGATACATGGTCTTTTGTGTCTGGCTTCTTTCCCTTACTGCAGTGTTGTCAAGGTTTATCCACGTTGGTTGTAATTCGCGTCAGCACTTCATCCATTTTCAAGGCTACATAATATTTCACTGTGTGGCTCTATTTTGATCATCTAGTTGTCAGCTGATGGACAGTGGGGCTGTTTCCACTTCTTGGCTCTTATGAAAATGCTGCCGTGAATATTTGTGTACAAGTTTTTGTGTGGACATAGGTTGTGTTTCGGTTTGTTTTGGGATGGAGTTTTGCTCTCGTTGCCCAGGCTGGAGTGCAGTGGTGTGATCTCGGCTCACTGCAACC